TCTCTTTTCTGTATTCATCATGCACTCAACATTTCCAAGATATCCATTCTAAGCTCTCCTCCAGACTTTTTCTCCCTCTGCCTTGTAGAACTTACCCAATGGATTCCCCTTTATCATTTTGCCTCACTTCCAGAACAAAGCCAAGTCCTGCAAGTGTTAGAGAGGACATTGCCTCATGGCTGTACCCTTCACTTCTACCACATATGTAATTATTTAGTCCACCACCAATCTATGCCCTCACTGTATTCACCTCTTCCTCCACCCCTATTTGCCTGAAGTCTCCTCCCTGAGTCCATGGTCTCTTTCTCTCTCAGGTGCCATTTGTCCCCAGGAGTTCCAACTCATTTCCCCTCTTGAGGTAGGACAAATGGTCTTTTCAAGCCCAAAATCTCCCAGACAACACCGAGCAGTGGTGTCCATTTCCCTTCACAGAACTTCTCTCTTCACTCATAGGAGAATTCATCAGTGTAGTCCTCTCTAACCATGAAAGCAAGGTCCCCTTCCTTTCCACTATCCTTTTCAATCCTTTCCTCATCCTCCCCACCCACTTCCTTATAGATTCTTCTCTTCCTAGGAGACCACAGAGATGAACTTTTCCTCAGCATTATCAATCAATTTGACCCTGGTACATCACACTCTATCCATCCTCTCTCTTATAACCTTCAATGCACCCTCCCATTTTGTAAGGTCCCATAAAAGACACTGAGTCACTGGTTGGCAGGATATCATTATGTTCTGTTTATAATGCCCCAGGCCTACTTCTCAACCATAATCTCCACTTAACTTATCCCAAAGTATGGGGTCTACACTGATGGATTTTTCTTCAGTGGGAAATTATCCTAGATATCAAGTCATTGCTCCCAATTATTAATCCTCCCAAAATACAGTTTAAAATAATAATATACATTTTTCATTCTTGGCTTAAATAGTAACAACATGAATCTTTGTCTTTATACAGAAGATAAGCCTGTCTACTCAGATGTGCATTTAACAAAATTTTTGTGGTCCACAAACTCCATGTGTGCCACAAGGGGTGCTTCTGAGGGAGAGGTAGAAGATGTAGGAGAAGACCAAGCATGTTTTCAGGACTTGGTTCATGCATTCACAATTTCCACAAGATAAGCAAATTTTAATTGGGCTGGGGGAGCCTTATTATAAGAGCCCCACTAGAACATTTCACTGCATGAGTCTAATAGGATAAACTGGCCTCTGTGGTCCATTCTTTGGAATAAGCACAGATATTCCAAGTCTGGTTTAAGTCACCTTGTGGAAGATTGGGTATAAAGGATAATTTTCTCCTTTATATCATGGCTCATATTGGATGATGCTGAATAGTACCTTAACAGATTACTGAGACAGAAGAACTAATAACTAAGAGCTTATTTAAAACCAAACTTTTGAGTTGTTGAAGTCTTTTTTTTTCTTATTAGCTGTGAATCTTACAGGTTTTTTTTGAGCCAGTCCCAAGAGTTAGATGAGAAAAGGGATAGGAATCCTAACTGGCATTTGGCCTCCATATGGCCATGAACACACGATGTTCTCTTCTTATGTGCTAATTTTTCCATGTTCTTTGTAAAATAAGTATTCCTAATCAAAATGTCCAGAACTAACAGTGACCTTGTGAGTTCAGGATGGTCCCAAATTCCTGAGTCCTGGGAGCACCTGAAAGCATGGGACACCTTTGCATCCAGATCATATGTAGACACAAAGACAATCACCTGAGGAAGGAGCCATCTTTAATGAGCATGCCCTCTTATAGTGGAAGATAGTGCCAGCTATGGTCTCAAGAAAAAAATGAATGTTACAACCCAAGTAAGTAGCCTACTCAACAGTTAGCTGCATTCAATGAAATATGATTAAGTATGTTATGAAGATAGAAAGCACTTTCAATGCAAAGGGTTGTCGTTTATCCTTTTGCAACATGTGTTCCATATCTATGTACTTCACCAACACTCAATTCTAGTTTTAAGCCCATTATTCTCATAGAATTTATTATATTGGTGGAAGAGCAAATTCCAAAGGTTTGGAGGGAATGATTGGTATGAGTGATTTTTGTTATATCATCTTCAGACTTCTTTGCTAAAGTTATCTTTATGGTTGAATGTTATTGGGAAGAAATATTATTGTTGCCTAAGGAACTATTTTTTTTGGAAGTATAGACTCATAGAATTGCTCCTAAAAACCTGAGAGTAGTCAGTTGCCCTTTAGGACATGCAATCAACAAGTTGATATGCAAGTTAGCAAGTACTCCCAGAAGGGGTTCAAAATAAAAAATGTTTGTAAAATTCATTAACATCATATTCTGTTAATCAACATTGAGAAGTAATCTATCAACTTTCTTTTTTATGCTTTTATTGATGTCTTCTGTTTCTTACATCATCATTGTTATCCCCATTATCCTTCCTTCTCTCCTTCTAAGAGAACCATTTCATATACCACAGAGTATTTTTAAAGGGGGAAAAAATCAACATAACTGGTCAATATACTGAAAAAGTCTGAAAAAATGCACACTATACAACACCTGTATTTTCTCATCCGCTACCAAAGGGTGAGTTTGGTGTGTCTTCTCATATCTCTTCATTTGAGTCATGTTCAATCTTTACAATTTTGTTATATTCACTCTTGAGTTTTTGTTGTTTTTTTTTCCTCATTTACATTGTGGTAGTTGCTGTGCATACAGTTTTCTTGGCTCTGCTGACTTTACTCTGTATCAATTCATGTGGATCTTTTCATGGTTTTTTTTTTTTTGCATTCATAACATATATAATTTTATTTTACAGCACAGTAATACACTATTACATTCATTTACCACAATTTGTTTTGCCATTCTCCAAGCAATAAACATCTATTTTGTTTCCAATTCTTTGCCATCACAAAAAGTGCTGCCATAAATATTTAGATGTGTATGGGGACTTTTTTCTTATGGATGACTTTCTTAGGGTATAAGCCCAGAAATAGTCTCTGGTTCTAAAGGTAGGGACATTTGAGGCCCTTTATTTGCATAATTTGAAATTACTTTCTAAAATGCTCATACCATTTCACAGTTTCATCAACAATGTATTCGTGCACTTATCATTCCATAATTCTTCCAAAATTGAGTATTGCCACTTTTTGTCATCTTTGTCAATTTGTAACATATGAGGTGAAACCTTAGGGATGTGTTTAATCCAACAACTTTCATTCAATAATTTAGTTCTCCTCACCCCACACATTAATTTTCCCCATGTTTCTAATGCAATAAATCCAAGGAACAGTAAGAAAATATGCCTTACTGCTTCCTTACACTCACATTTTCCAAGCACTGTACACTTAACCAGGTGAGAAAGGCTAAGGAAAATAATATGGATTTAGATCCATTTCTTTCTGAAAAAAGCTACTTTCTCATAAAGACTTTCTACGTAGATGAAGGACTTTCTCCTTGCTAAAAAGGTCATTATTCTTTCTTTTGTAAAAAGAAAGGCTAAATGTGCCTATTTTTAAAAAGTATTCAATCACTCTACATAGCAAAGGACATGTAGACAAAAGAGTGAACCAATCTAACTTGATTATTTCACCCCAATGGAAAGCGATTGTGAAGCTGTTGTATTTTTGTTTAAGAAAATTTATCTGACAATCTGCCAATTATTCAGGTCTGGCTGCAATCACTCTTGTCCACCTTCTGCTCCCTGCTTTCAGCCTCTCCTTAAAGCAGACTTCTAATCAAATAGTGGAGCAAAATAAATTAATTCATGCCCATCTCCAATTGACCCTAGTACTATGCAAACTCTGTTCCAACTGCAATCCTACATCACTCCACCTGTCTGTGATGTGATTCAGCTGGTTTCTTTACAATAGGAGTGTGTGTGTATATGTGTGAGAAATTAGGGGTGTTATTTTGTTTCCCTTATCTCCCCTCTTTTTTTGCCCTGACAAAAACATGACTTTTTCTTGTAGTTCCCATGATCCTTTTGGGTTTTTTCAATTAGAAAATTCAATGGGTTTATAAGCTCAAAATTAAGAGTGACAACAAGGTCATGAGATCCAAAGTGTAGTAGAAAGATTAAATAAAGCAATGGAAAATATATGTGAGCTGAAACTTAGACTTCTAAGACCAAGGGGAGTCCCCCCCCCCCATTGCTTTCCTGAGAGCAAAAAGTCCAGATTGGGAATTCCAAGCATCTGGATTGAAGAAGATTAGAATCCTTACCAACCTAGTCCAGACAAAAATTTTATATTAAATTATATTCTTTCTCTTGGGAAGCAGATCAGGAATTGACTCTGATACAGCACATGTCACTCAGTGGTTTAACATGTAAGTATTATATCAGATCAGGGCATGTAAGAAAGGAGATTCAGGTGTCAAACTGAAGGAAGAGGCTTCTAGACAAATGAAACTGATTTTTTTAAACCCCCTTTCTTCAATGTCTTAATGCAAATAAAGTGCTCTGCAGAATTCATGACAGGTATACTCCTTACTCCTCCAATACAACATATCTGCTTTATATAGTTCTTTATATAGTTTATATAGTTCCCCTGGCTCTCTTCACTTCACTTGGCTTTCTCCCTGATTTTGTGTTACATAGCCATTGGTGAAGGTTTGGTAAAGAGCTGGTTTTATTTCTCATCCAATAAGATTTTCATAACTCAAAGAATGTAACTATAGAACTAGGCAAAGCAATTATTTATTTTTTCACTTTTTTGAGACCAATGGTCTTGAGTAATTGCAAATAATTTATCAACAAGCCCAAAATGATGGGGTTTTTTTTTTATCAGCCCTGCTCCCTGCTTCCCACACAACCTTAGAATTTATGTTCCTGCTACCCCGAAATGGGCTGTTTCAAGTATTGATGAATAATAATCCGTCCAAGGAAAATTCTTGATAATTCCTTTCCGTATGAAGTCCCATGGGCATGAGATCCAAATAGAAGAAATGTCTACAATCCTGTTGTCTGACAGTCACATAGACTTTCTATTTCTTTCTAGGACACGGGGACTCAAGGATTCTCTTCAAGGCAGAGACCATGCTTCCTAGTAGCATATGCTTTGGACTTGTCCTCCTTTTCCAAACTGGAGTTGGAGTCCTAGCAAACTTGTTCCTCCTATCTCTTTATTCTTTCAGTTTCCTCACTGGCCATGTTGGGAAGCCAATAAACTTAATTATCATTCATCTGACCCTGGCTAACATCATTATGCTTCTTAGCAAAGGAGGACCAGAGACAGTCATAGCTTTGAGTGGGGAGAATTTCCTGAATGATACTGGGTGTAAACTTGTCTTTTTCTTTCACAAAGTATCCCAGGCACTTTCAATTTGTTTCACCTGCTACCTATGTAACTTCCAGGCCATCATTCTCAGTCCCCCTGGCTCCAGATGGGCAAAATTCAAAGCCAGGGCCTCAGAGCATATCATCCCCTTCTGTATCTTCTGCTGTATCTTCAATCTATTGATAGAAATCCCTGTAATACTGAGCTTAACTGGCCCAAGGAACTTAAACAATAGGACAAATGAGTTTAATTTTTTGCATTGTTCTCTTCTAAGCTACATAGATGCTTACTGCATTTTGGTTAGTCTCAGAAATGTTCTCTGTGTGGGGCTCATCCTTTGGGCTGGTGGCAACATGGTGTTTCTGCTACGTAGACACCACCGACAAGTGCAGACCATTCATAGCATAGTCTTCTCAGCCAGATCCTCCCCTGAGGTTAAAGCCACCCAGACCATTTTGCAGCTGGTGAGCACCTTTGTCTTCTTTTACTCACTCTCTTCTATCTTCGTGATTTGTGTCTCCTATTATTATCAACACCGTTTCTGGCTGTTGCCCGTTGCTGCTTTTCTCAATTTATGTTTTCCAGCTCTCAGCCCCTTTGTATTGATACCCCCAGGAACAAGAATCTGCCCTGGTTTTTGTGCAAGAAAAAACATTCGTTATCATTGTAATCCATCTTCACACAGCTGATTTGATCGCAAAGTGATTTTCCTAAAGAACTGTTATGACTATGTCAGTCCTTTAATCAATATACTCAAAGACTCTCTATTACATCTAGGATCAAATGGACAATCCTTTGTTTAACAGTCTTAGGCTTTTACATCTGCACCCAGTCCAAAATTTGAAGCCTGAACAACTTAAAAATGTAGTGGGATATTTTGGCCACACTATATAAAGCACCCTATCTCTACTTATTGTGACTTTTAACTGGCTATCCTCATGGCTAGAATGGAATGACCATAAATGCACCATTTGTGAAGCTTGGAAGTTTAAAGTCTATGCAAATCAGAGGATCTCCTGGAGACCATTTATATAAAATCCACAAGTAATGCAGTCCTCAGGGAAATAGATAGATAGATAGGAAAAACAGTGATATAGATCTATGTGCGTGCAGATCCATAAATGTTCTGTTTTATCTTGGCAAAAGTGAGAATGCAATATGGAGAAATATCTTCAAAAATATAAATTACCTGAACTAACCAAAGAACTTAAACAGATCTCAAATAATTCATTTTGGGAAAAGAAAACAGAATTGTCCATAAGGGGAAAATGACTACAATACCAATAGCAATAGCACAAACAACAGTAACAATGGCAGGAACAATTATCCTGGTCCTTCTGTATTTCACTAAATATTCTATCAAAATTTAAAGAAAAATTTATTCTAATATCAAAGACACTGTTTCCAAAAAATGTTTAAGAACATATTCTATTGTTCTCTTTTAATGGGAAAAAATATATTCCTAAACATACCTAAACAATGAAGAGTGAAATAAGGACTAATAAAATTAATACATCATTAACTTTTAATTTTTTATATCATTACATTAAATTTTTATAATTTAAAAGTTAATGCATTAATTTAAGTTCAAAAACTGTAAACACAATTCTCTCAAAAATAATACAGAAATTCATCCTAGAAATTGTTCATTATGAATCAATTGGATTTATATGAGGGCTACCTCTCCCTCTTAACTTCTTTATTACTATAGAGGGCAATATCATCTTCCCAGTTCTTTGGGCTCACATTCTAGGTATCATGCTTAATCCCTGACTATCTCTTACTGCCTGTATTTATTTATTTTATTTTTTAAAAGAGTATTTTATTTTTTCCAATTACATATAAAGACAATTTTTAACATTCTTTCTTTTAAAATTTTGAGTTTCAAATTTTTCTCTCTTCTTTCTTCCCCTCCTGCCTCCCTAAAACAGTAATCAATTTGATGTTATATATGTACAATCATGTAAAACATATTTCCACAATCATCATGTTGTGAAAAAAGAAACAGGTCAAAAGAAAAGAACCATGAAAAACTAAAGTGAAAATAGTATGCTTCAATTTGCATTCAGATTCCATCAGTATTTCCTCTGGATATGGATAGCATTTTCCATCATGAGTACTTTGGAATTGTCTTGGTTCATTGTATTGCTGAGAGGAGCTAAGTCATTCATAATTGATCCTCACACAATGTTGCTGTTACTTTATACAGTGTTCTCCTGGTTCTACTTATTTCACTTTGCATCAGTTCATAAAAGTCTTTCAAGATTTTTCTGAAATCCTCTTGCTCATCATTTCTTATTGCACAATAGTATTTCTTTACATTCATATACCACAACTTGTTCAATCATTCCCCAATTGATGTGCATCTCCTCAATTTCAATTTTTTGCTACTGCAAAAAAAGCTGCTTTAAATAATTTTGTGTATCTAAGTCCTTTGTCCCTTTTTATAACCTCATGTAGATCTAGTAGTGGTATCATTGGATCAAAGAGTAGGCACAGTTTGATTGCCCTTTGGATGTAGTTTCAAAAAATGGACCCCATTCTGTTTGTTCTTCATACAAACTTTTGGTTAAAGGGGAAACTGATTCTGTTTGTTTCTTTGGACCAAACCTTTGGTAAATGGTTGACAGACTTGAATTATCATACAAAAGACAAGAAATTAAAAAGCAGTAATCTAATTTCCTTAGCAACTATATCTTGGAGTTTTAGTACATATGGTCAAGTCTTTCAGAAACAAAGGAGTAAGTCAAGACTGAGAGGAGGGCAAAATACCTGGGGACACCCTTCCCCTCAGTTCTTCAAATGAGAAGCATACTAAAGCCAGGATGGCCTAGCATTGGTACTACAGAGCACTTTTAAGTTCTAGTAATGGCCACACTGCAAACCTCCATTACAGCATTTGCATTCTTTTAGCCTTAGGGGATTTGCTACAAAGTAGACCTGCACAAGTTGTAAACTTCTTCCAAAATGAAGATAGACTGATGATGATTAGTTGCCAAGGGTCCTGTGATAGCTGTTAGAAATCCTTTGGCCCCAGCTTAAGGCAGCTCCCCCAAGGGAGAGGGGGACACCATCCAATTAAAGAAGATGCCCCCAGCCAGGAGAGGCTAGGGATTCATATAGAGTAAAACCTGCCATAGATGGGGAGATGAGGTAACCAGGAGTTTCAGGCATTATTTAATTCATTCTTTAGCCCTGAGTGGAGGGGTGGAGGCCACCCTCCCCTTCCCACCCCCCTGTTAGTTTTGGTATTTCTTTGACCAGTTGATCAAATACTGGAATCTTATTATCTCCTAAAGTGGCGTTAAGTGGTGCTTGAGATAATGGGCTTCTCTTAGACCACTCTATTTGAATCTCATCATTCCCGCCATTCCAAATTCACAGTAAAAATATTATAAAAACTTATTGCATTTCTAAACAAGCAGTTTCAAGTACTCAACATCATTAATAATACTGATCTAAAATTATCAAATACCCACATTACAGATTAGTAAACTGAAGTAACTTGTTTTAAAATCATGCAATTAACAAATTTCCAGATCCACTAAATTTTTAAACTCTTTGCCTTGTTTACCAATATCACAATAAATCCTGACTTTTCAAAAGCATCTTATTAGGAGACATATTTCACTTAAAACAAGGTTAGAAGTGATGAAGTGCTAATGATGGACCCCTAAAAGGCCCTGGAATTTCCCACATGGCCCAGTCCCTGGAGTTCACCTGAGGCATCTGGCCCATCCCAGAATAATCCTTTTAACTGCCCTTTCATTGTGGCCCTCATTGCCTGCACCTGCAGTTTTCCCAATACCCTAGTGTTCAAGAGAGCTGAGAGAATTGACAGAATTAGGCGTATGCTTCCTGATAGGGTGTCTGTCCTCTCTGCTACAGAAGGGGTACCTGGGACCAAGATGGCCTAGTAACTGTCTGACCCTAATAAAACCTGAAAATGTCAGGCCCAAAAAGCACCTCTAAGCCTTCCTAGGTTCTTGTAGAGTGACCCCAACTGCAGAGATAGAAAGGGATAGAGAGAGGAGGCTTACCTTCTGGTCTTGGCTGGAGAAGGACTTGAGATTAGGCAGTTTCCCAGTCAGAGAACCATATGCTGCAGTCCAGGGGTACTGGGAACCCCAAAATTCAAGGGCAAAAGGCACAAGTCTACATCAAAAGAATTCATCTCAAGCCTTCTTTCAGTCAGAGACAAGGTTTATTGTGTTGCCAATAGAAGCAGGCCAGACTCTGAAGGAATCCAAGTAATTTAATGGGGGAAAAATGGATGTTTACATACAGAAAGACTGTGGGAAGATCTGGATGTGGTAAAGAAGTGTCCAGTAGCTTGGTGTGACTGGTAGGTAACAGAGAAGGGATCTAGATTGGATCAAGGAATGGAGGAAATAGCCTTGGGGTGGGGCCAGGTACAGACATTGAGGGCCACAATGAAAGGGCTTGACTGGGAAGGGCCAGGTACCTCAGGTGAAACCAGGGATCTGGGCCATGTGGGAAAGTCTAGGGCCTTTTAGGGGTCCATCATTAGCATCCCGTCAGAAAGAACTGCATAGTCCAGTGCAAGATAAGGGATTTAATTATATTAATTGATTGGGGAGGGGAAAGGGAGTAACTGGCTACAGGCCCCCACATACCCTCCTCCTCACCCCAGGCTTGGGCAACAAGGGGGCAGAAAAAAAAAGTAGCTTGCTTTGTATACACACACACACACAGAGCACAGCACATTTTAACACAAATAGCTCTCCACAAGGACAGACACAAAGACAGTAAATAGTAGTGATAAAGATTCTTAAAAGAATTCAGCATGCACAAATTAAGTCCCCCCTACTACCCTGAAAGCCCCATCAATTTGAGCCAGACTAATTGGTCCTTTTTTGAAGGGTAGTCTTTTGTTAGAGGAGTGGAAGCCATTGAGAAATTGCATCCCACTCAGAGCCCTTTGGGCCAGCAGAATCATGAATAAACTCAAAAAGGAGACCCCGCTGTGGCCATCAGTGTTTCAGGTTAGACTTAGTCAAATTCTGCCAATTTTCCAAGGACAGTACCTGCAAGCATGTAGTCCATAATTTGAAAACAGCCTGGAAGCTGTCCTTTTGAGACCTGTCTGAGTGGCCACATAGGGTCCATAATTACAAACTGCAGCCATCCTTTTTTATGGAGGTCTGTCAGAGCAGACACAAATTACCAAGTTAACCATGGACATCAAAACACAAACCCCCTGATCAAAGAGCTGTAGGAACTCAAGTGGAAAGAGATGCAAGTTCTGGATTTGGGAGACCCAGGCCAAGTTCCAAGAGTGGAACACAAAAGATTCCTGCTGGCACCAAGCATTCAGGGTCAAGACAGGGCCTGACTGGGCAGGGGGCTTCAAAATCCTACTTCTGACACCAATATGCCAATGTGAATTTTAAATTAAAACAGTCACTACAACAAAATTGAGGTCCTTAATCAGGGCAAGTGAGTTGCAACCCAGGGTGTCACACAGCAAGTGCTGGGGTACCCCAAGAAAGGGCTGGGAACAGGATTTACATAGAGTACTAAGGCAGAGAGAATGAGTAGCCTGCAGGTAGGGGGGTTAGGCATCTCACAGTTTCACAAGGTAATTTGTTTTCTGTAACAGGCAAAAGCCTATAAAGAAAGCTTGGAAATCTCTGGAGGCAAGAGTTTGGAAGATCTACAAAATAAT